TTTTTTTTTTTTTTTTTTTTTTTTTTTTTTTTTTTTTTACCAATTGCAGCTTTAGCCTCGCTTGGTTCTACTTTATTTTTGTTTGTTTTGTTTTTCCTTTTGAGACAGAGTCTCACTCTGTCACCCAGGCTGGAATGCAGTGACACGATCTCGGTTTACCGCAACCACTGCCTCCCAAGTTCAAGCGATTTTCCTGCCTCAGCCTCCAGAGAAGCTAGAATTATACGCGCCCACCACCACACCGGCTAATTTTTGTATTTTTAGTAGAGACGGGGTTTTGCCGTGTTGGAGTTATGTGAAATTGTTAGTGTTCAACAGGGCAGCACATGTTAAGTTCTTCAGTTCTTGAACTCATGACCTCAGGTGATTCGCCCACCTTGACCTCCCAAAGTGCTGGGATTACAGGCCTGATCCACCACGCCCTACTTTCTTATTATGTAAGAATTATTGGCCAGGCTGGGTGGCTCACGTCCGTAATCCCAGCTACTCAGGGAGGCTGAGGCCTCAACACCAACTGTGTGAAATAATCCACAGACACCTAGTACTCTCTACTGGATACCAGTCCCTAATCTAAGCATGGCAGTTCCTTGCTTTCAAAGAGCTTATGTCTTAGTGAGATGGATGCTTTATTAGCTCTTTTTTCCAGGTGAGGAAACTGCTTTTGTGGCACTGAATAATTAGTCAGAAGCCATATATGGCCAGCAAAACAGGGAACCTGGGAATCCAAGTCCAGACAATCTGATGCCAGTGGCTGCCAGTTTACCACCTTGAGAATCTGAATCCCTAAGGAGCCTGGACTGGTGCCACCAAACCTTAGTCATTTTCAGCTGCTGATATTTGTGCATATCATAGTTACTCAATGGCAGCATTATTGACATTGGCAGACAATTCTTTGTCAGGCTAGATAATTCTTTGTTGTGGGATGTTGTTCTGTGCATTGTAAGATGTTTAGCAGCATCCTAGCCTTTATACGATAGATGCCAGTTGCATCCTTCCCCTAGTCGTGACAACCAAAAATGTCTTCAGACACTACCATATATCCCCTGGGAGGGACAGAACCACCCGTTTGAGAACCACTGGTGTACACCATTTTTTGGATCTTTGAGAGAGAAACATTTGGTACATGACAGTCTCCAAATCATTGTAAGTAGGAGGCCTTGAAGAGAACAGAGGGAAACAGTGTGGCCTAAGTTTTGGAAAAGACTGTTCCAACTACGAAAATGACAGAGAAAGGAAAAATAAGTGAAATGGAAAAAAACAAAAGGAGAAGACAAGTGATACAGGTGAAGAAAAGGAGCTTATGAAATGATCTGTGGGCCAGACATGGTGGCTCACCTCTGTAATTCCAGCACTTTGAGAGGCGGAGGTGGGAGGATTGCTTGAGCTCCGGAGTTATAGAGATCAGCCTCAGCAACATAGACCCATCTCTACAAAAAAAGATTTTTTAAAATTAAGAAATAAGTTACTCAGATCACACCAAGGAACTTATTTCACACTAAGACAGACTAACAAAGTCTTAAAGGAAAAAAAAAAGTTTTAATGAGACCTCATTGTAGCTTCACTCCCTGTTTGGGAAATGCTGCTATGTTTAGCAAATACTCTTGACCACTTTAATGAAAAGATTTCTTTTCCCTTACAGCATGGTACCAGGTATAACCTTCCTGAACTGGCTATGTGCAAGAAGGCTTCCTTCAGAGATTTCAGACATCCTTCAAGGTAGTAATTTATTTTCTAGGAAAAGCAAAGATTCCCTGGCAAAAGTCACAAAGCAATGATAGCTAAACTTTTCCTGGTTTTCTGAGAGATTGATCCTACTTATTCATAACACAAATAATTATGTATATTCTTATAACTCCTTTCCTCCAGGAATCTGCAATGCATATAGATGTTTATGGATTTTCTTCTTATGCCTGTGAGAGAAATCACTGTAATTTTGTTTCATAAATACAGAAGCCAAGTTGTGGAATCCACACACACACAAAAATAGAGATCTAGAATCAGACTACAGGAGTCTTCACTCTGGGCCATACTTAATACCATCTCAGATCTCCAGCTGTCAAACAGTAAGCTAATGATGATAGTCCTTTAATTGTATAAGGTTAATTATATGTTTTCATTGCTTTTGAACTATTCCTCAGTCTCTTCACTTGACCCATAAAATAGCAGGCTTGTAGAGAATGTGACTTAAAGTTAAATAGTGACAGTATTTGAACTAAAACCTAGATCTCATGATTCTTAGTGCTCTTTTTATTTAGTAAGCAAGGTCACACATCCTCATGGGTAATATTTAACTTACAGAAAACATGATTCAGATAGAGATTATAATCTGCATAAAAACTGATATTTTCTATGTGTATTGTACCTGGATTTCTGTGGAAATAGTACTGCTCTTTACCCAGTTGCTTAAATTAAAACCCAAGAGTTAGCCTTGATTCCTTCCTTTTCCTTACCTTCTTCATTCAGTTCACTGTTGTCTTGTTAATTCAATGTCTAAAATAGATTGCAAATACAACTTCTCTTGTCACTGCCACTAGCCTGGTCCAGGTTATTGTCATCAGCTTTGGGATGCAACATTTTCTCATATCCCTTTGTAACACTTGCCACAGTTTAATTTTCTGTTGTATACTTGTAATTTTCTTATTTTATTTTATTTTTTGAGATAGAGCCTTACTCTGTTGCCCAGGCTGTAGTGCAGTGGTATGATCTCACCTCACCGCAACCTCTACCTCCCTGGTTCAAGCGATTTTCCAGCCTCAGCCTCCTGAATGAGTGGGACTGTGGGGATGCCTGGCTAATTTTTTTTTTTTTTTTTTTTGTATTTTTAGTAGAGATGGGGTTTCATAATGTTAGCCAGGATGGTCCTGATCTCCTAACCTCGTGATCCCGCCCGTCTTGGCCTCCCAAAGTGCTGGGATTACAGGCATGAGCCACCTTGCCCAGCTGACTTAAAATTTTCTTAATCTCACTTCACTACTATAATGTATGCAGATTTCTTTAACATAGGTGCAAAAATCTGTCTTGTTAACTCTGATATTCCCAGGACCTAGCAGAGTGCCTGGCTTATCATAGGCACTTAATAAATATTTGGTGGCCAGGCACGGTAGCTCACACTTGTAATCCCAGCACTTTGGGAGGCCGAGGTGGGCGGATCACCTGAAGTCAGGAGTTCGAGACCAGCCTGGCCAACATGGTGAAACCCTGTGACTACTAAAAATACAAAAATTAGCTGGGCGAGGTGGTGGGCGCCTGTGATCCCAGCTGCTCGGGAGAGATGAGGCAAGAGAATTGTTTGAGCCCAGTAGGCAGAGGTTGCAGTGAGCAGACATTAAGCACTGCACTCCAGCCTGGGTGACAGAGTGAGACTCTGTCTCAAAAAAATATATAAATTAATTAAGTAAATATTTGGGAAATATTTGTTGAATTAATGGTTGAAAACCCATTAGTCCCCAAAATTACATTATGATTGCTTACAATGAAATAGGTGAGGCTGGAGCCTTTATCTGATCATGTATAGTAAAAATGACTGAAGCTAACATAATTAAACTCAATTGTATTATAATCTGTCTGAAAGAATGTGTTAGAATTGAAATGGTTTACCTGTAACCCAGAAAGAGAAAAATAAGCCAGGATGGCTTATTCCATTCAGCAGTGTTCAGGATAGAGAAATTATGAATCCACAGAACATGGTTAAAAGCTAGTCATTAAAGAGGTGTACTTGTTCTAGAGTGAAGATAAGCTCGGGCTTTACTTGTGGCCTGAATGAAATGGGTCTTAGTCCCATCTCTTTTTTCTGATCATTTGCCAAATAACATTTTGATTACTGACTTAAAATCCTTGGTTCCTTTGTGCTGGGAAGGAAATGCTCTGGACAGCAAACAAATATTTTACTCACTGGAAACATACATTCTATGTTATATTCCACAGAGACTATAGCTGTCAGGACAGGAAATTGTTAATCACAACTGTGTCCCTAGTTCCTTAGAATAATGCTCACACAAAGTAGATTCTTTGTAAGTATTTGATGAATGAATGAATGTATATTAGTTAATTAGAATTATCCTTTATACCACAATCTGTTATGAATTTGGTATTGTGAATCAATCCTCAAGTATCTGTTCCATGATACGTGCTTAAGGAAAATCAGATTTCTGGTTTTAGAGGTCAAATACACGAGGTCCTGATCTCTGCTGCTCTACTCCAAGGGTCTTTGAATGACTGGGCATTATGGCTCAGGCCTATAATTCCAGCACTTTGGGAGACTGAGGCAGGAGGATCACTTGAACTCAGGAGTTTGAGAGGAGCTTGGGCAGCATAATGAGACCCTGTCTCTGTGACAAATAAAAACCTCAGGGTATTTTTCACAGCAAGCCATCTTCATGATCCTTGAGATCTTATTTGGTTAATCCCTGACCTCCTTCTCCCATACCTTTTTCTTGGTTCTCTGTAACTCCAGTTCATCTTCCATCTAGCCCATCCAGTTTCCTGGGGTTGTGGTGGGGGGCAACTAATCAAGCTGCTCCCCTGCCTAAAAATCAGTTAATTCTCTGTTACCTTCAGAAAAATAGATTTCCACAGTCTACCTTCCAGCTCTCCTCACCATGCTACCTGTCTACCCTTCTTACATACACTCTCCATCATGTATGCTAAGTTCCAGTCATACTAAATCATTTACTATTTCATAAACATGCTCTGCCCTTTCATTTTTTCCATGCTTCTCCCTCTCTAGAATGTCCTTCCCTCCTGCTCCCACCTGATGAACTCCTGTCATCCTTTAAGATCCAGATCTAGACTTTACTTTTTTAAAGAAGGCTTTGATTTCTCTACTAGAGAAAATATTATTTCTTTCTCTCTACTTATCTTCTATTACAGCCCTTATTTTATATATATGTATATATATTTTTGAGGCGAATTCTCATGCTGTTGCCCCAGTTGGAGTGCAATGGCATGCTCTCAGTTCACCACAACCTCTGCCTCCTGGATTCAAGCAATTCTCCTGCCTCAGCTCCCCCCTCCACCCCAAGTATCTGAGATTACAGGTGCTGACCACCACGCCCAGCTAATTTTTGTATTTTAAGTAGAGACCGGGTTTTGCCATGTTCGTCAGGCTGATGTCAAACTCCTTACTTCAGTTGATCTGCCCACCTTGGCCTCCTAAAGTGCTGAGATTACAGGTGTGAGCCACCGCGCCCAGCCCAGCCCTTATTATATTATGTTGTAACTGTCTTTGAGATTGTGGAGTGCAGGATCTGTGCTTTAGTTATATTTCTTTGCTTCCCCAAAACGTCGCACGTTTATGAATGCAGGCACCCATACGGGGTAGTAGGTATAAGTGCTAATTACTAACTTGTACCAGTCTTCATTTCTTGAATGTAGCCTCCTTCCCAAGACAGAATGGGAAACCTCCCAGCTGTACTCTGTTTGCAATAATTGGGTGTGAACATAGGAAATAAATGTTTTACATACTGCTTTTATGATTCTCTATAAAAGGAGGTGATCAGTTTTTGTTTTTGCTTTTTTGAGACAGGGTCTCACGTTGTCACCTAGGCTGGAGTACAGTGGTACGATCATGGCTCACTGCAGCCTCAAACTCCTGGGCTCAGGCAATCCTCCTGCCTCAGCCTCTCAAGTAGGTAGAACTACAGATGCCCACCTCCACACATAGCTAATTAAAAAAAAAATTGGTAGAGATGGGGTGTTATTATGTTGCCCCAGCTGGTCTCAAAGTCCTGGCCTGAAGTGATTCTCCCACCTCGGCCTCCCAACGTGCTTGGATTGCAGGCATGAGCTGTAAAAGGACCTGAGAGTCTTGAAAGATTAGCAGGCCCTCGATAAGGAGTAATTCAGTGTACCTTATATATACTCAGAACCTTGGTCACTATTCATAGCCCATCTTTCTCCCTTGCTCTTAAGAGACTTATAACCCCAATACCCAGCACAATGCCTAGCACCTATTAGGAGCTCAGTAAACATTTGTTGAGGTTGGGTGCAGTGGCTCATGCTTGTAATCCCAACATTTTGGGAGGCCACAGTGGGAGGATTGCTTGAGGCAGGAGTTTGAGACCAGCCTGGGCAGCATAGTAAGACTCTGTCTCTACAAAAAATAATGTTTTAAAAAGTTAGCCAAGCATGGTGGCATGTGCCTCTGGTACCAGCTGCTTGAGAGGCTGAGTGAGGCAAGAGGATCCCTTGAGCTCAGGAGTTTGAGGCTGTGAGTTATGATCACACCACTGCACTCCACCCTGGGTGACAGAGCAAGACCCTGTCTCTTAAAAAAATAAATTAAAAAAAAAGAATATGAGTGTTTTTTGATGATGTTATCCAAGGTTACTTAGTATCTTCACATCTGTACAGAAAACTTCAAAACTCTTAAGAAAACTATAATGAGCTACTACTTTACAGCGTTAGAATTGCTGTTACTTAAAAAAAAACCCTCCAGAAAATGACACCTATTATCAAGATGTGGAAAAACTTGAACCCTTGTGTACTGTTGGCAGGACTATAAAATGATGCAGCCCCTATGGAAAAGAGTATAATGATTCCTAAAAACTTTTTTTTTTTTTTGTATTTTTAGTGGAGACGGGGTTTCACCATGTTGACCAGGATGGTCTCGATCTCTTGACCTCGTGATCCACCCGCCTCGGCCTCCCAAAGTGCTGGGATTACAGGCTTGAGCCACCGCGCCCGGCCTCTAAAAACTTTTAAACAGAATTTTAAACAGAATTACCATGTGATCTAACAATACAATTGTATTGTTATCCCTCCCCAACCTCCGTACCCACCACTCTCCCTAAACATATATATATATGTATATATGCACATATATATATATATTATATACATATGTACACGTACACACACACACACACACACACACACACACACACACACACACACACACCCTACTAGGTATATATATATATAACTAGATATATATAGATATAGATATAGATGTAGATATAACTAGATATATATATATATGTATATGGTAATTCTATTGTTAGATCATATGGCAATTCTGTTTAAGAATTTCTAGGAATTTTTTAGGTATATATATATATACACACACACGTACATACACCTAGTAATTGTATTGTTAGATCATATGGTAATTGATATCCATCCCCCGTCACCTATATCTGGCATTTCTCACCATGTTATCCCTCCCCAACCTCCCTACCCCTCAATGTCCCTTCCCTAGTCCCCCGAAGCAGATCCCAGTGTGTGATGCTTCCCTCCCTGTATTCCTGTGTTCTCATTGTTCAACACTCGCCTATGAGTAAGAACATGCAGTGTTTGTTTTTCTGTTCTTGTGTCAATTTGCTGAGAATGATGGTTTCCAGATTCATCCATGTCCCTACAAAGGACAAGAACTCATCGTTTTTTATGGCTGCATACTATTTCATGGTGTATATGTGCCACATTTTCCTTGTCCAGTCTATCATCGATGGGCATTTGGGTTGGTTCCATGTCTTTGCTGTTGTAAACAGTGCTGCAGTGAACATACATGTGCGTGTGTCTTTATAATAGAACGATTTATAAATATATACCCAGTAATGGGGTTACTGGGTCAAATGGAATATTTCTAGGTCCTTGAGGAATTGCCATACTGTCTTCCACAATGGTTGAACTAATTTACACTCCCACCAACAGTGTAAAAGTGTTCCTATTTCTCCACATCTTCTCTAACATCTCGTTTCCAGATTTTTTAATGATCAACATTGTAACTGGCATGAGATGGTATCTCAGTGTGGTTTCAATTTGCATTTCTCTAATGACCAGTGATGATGAGCACTTTTTTATGTTTGTTGGCTTCATATATGTCTTCTTTTGAAAAGTGTATGTTCATGTCCTTTGCCCTCTTTTGAATGGGTTTGTTTGTTTGTTTCTTGTAAATTTGTTTTAGTTCTTTGTAGATTCTGGCTATTAGCCCTTTGTCAGATGGGTAGATTGCAAAAATTTTTTCCCATTCTGTGGGTTGCCGGTTCACTCTAATGATTGTTTCTTTTGCTGTACAGAAGCTCTGGAGTTAATTAGATCCCATTTGTCTATTTTGGCTTTTGTTGCCAATGCTTTTGGTGTTTTAGTCATGAAGTCCTTGCCTATGCCTATGTCCTGAATGGTTTTGCCCAGGTTTTCTTCTAGGGTTTTTATGGTGTTAGGTCTTATGTTTAAGTTTTTAATCCATCTGGAGTTAATTTTAGTGTAAAGTGTCAGAAAGGGGTCCAGTTTCTGCTTTCTGCACATGGCTAGCCAGTTTTCCCAACACCATTTATTAAACAGGGAATCCTTTCCCCATTGCTTGTCTTTGTCAGGTTTGTCAAAGATCAGATGCTTGTAGATGTGTGGCATTGCCTCCGAGGCCTCTGTTCTGTTCCATTGGTCTATATGTCTGTTTTGGTACCAGTACCATGCTGTTTTGATTACTGTAGCCTTGTAGTAAAGTTTGAAGTCAGGTTGTGTGATGCCTCCAGCTTTGTTCTTTTTGCTTAGAATTGTCTTGGCTATGCGGGCTCTCTTTTCGTTCCATATGAAGTTTAAGGTGGTTTTTTCCAGTTCTGTGAAGAGGATCATAGGTCGCTTGATGGGGATAGCGTTGAATCTATAAATTACTTTGGGTAGTATGGCCATTTTCACAATATTGATTCTTCCTAACCATGAGCATGGAATGTTTTTCCATCTGTTTGTGGCCTCTTTTATTTCCTTAAGCAGTGGTTTGTAGTTCTCCTTGAAGAGGTCCTTTACATCCTTTGTTAGTTGTATTCCTAGGTATTTTATTCTCTTTGTAGCAATTGTGAATGGCAGTTCTTTCTTGATTTGGCTCTCTTTAAGTCTGTTATTGGTGTATAGGAATGCTTGTGGTTTCTGCACATTGATTTTGTATCCTGAGACTTTGCTGAAGTTGCTTATCAGTTTAAGGAGATTTTGGGCTGAGATGATGGGGTCTTCTAAATATATAATCATGTCCTCTGCAAATAAAGACAATTTGACTTCTTTCTTTCCTAATTGAATACCCTTTATTTCTTTTTCTTGCCCGATTGCTCTGGCTAGAACTTCCAATACTATATTGAATAGGAGCGGTGAGAAAGGGCATCCTTGTCTAGTGCCAGATTTCAAAGGAAATGCTTCTAGTTTTTGCCCATTCAGTATGATATTGGCTGTGGGTTTGTCGTAAATAGCTTTAATTATTTTGAGGTATGTTCCATCAATACCTAGTTTATTGAGAGTTTTTAGTATAAAGGGCTGTTGAATTTTGTCGAAGGCCTTCTCTGCATCTATTGAGATAACCATGTGGTTTTTGTGTTTGGTTCTGTTTATGCGGTGGATTACGTTTATAGAGTTGCGTATGTTGAACCAGCCTTGCATCCCCAGAATGAAGCCTACTTGATCGTGATGGATAAACTTTTTGATGTGCTGTTGCAATCCGTTTGCCAGTATTTTATTGAAGATTTTTACATCTATGTTCATCATGGATATTGGCCTAAAGTTTCCTTTTTTTGTTGAGTCTCTGCTGGGTTTTGGTATCAGAATGATATTGGTCTCATAAAATGATTTGGGAAGGATTCCCTCTTTTTGGATTGTTTGGAATAGTTTCAGAAGGAGTGGTACCAGCTCCTCTTTGTATATCTGGTAGAATTCGGCTGTGAACCCATCTAGACCTGGTCTTTTTCTGGTTGGTAGGCTATTAATTGCTGCCTCAACTTAGGTATATTAAAAAAAAAAAAAAAAACCTGAAAGCCGTGTCCCAAAGAGATATTTTTATACCCATGTTCACTTAAATATTATTCACACCTGGAAAGCACCCCAGATGTCTATCAGTGGATGAATGGGTAATCAAAATGTGGGGTATACGTGCCATAGAATATCATTCAGCTTTAAAAAGGAAGGAAATTCTGATACATGCTACAATATGGATGAACCTTAAGAACATTATGCTTAGTGAAATAAGCTAGCCACAAAAAGATGAATACTATATTATCTCATTTATATGAGGTACCTAGAGTAATCAAATTCATAGTAACAGAAAGTAGAATGGTGGTTGCTAGGGTCTAGGGAGAGATGGGGGAAGAGGGTATTGTCTAATGGGCATAGTGTTCCAGTTTTGCAAGATGGAAAAAGTTCTGGAAATTGGCTGTACATCAATGTGAATGCACTTAAAAGTGGTTAAAATGGTAAATTTTAGGATATTTGTATTTTACCATATTTTTTAAAAAGAGAACACTAAACTGGGAGAGCAAAGACCAAGGTTGGAGTTCTTGGTTGTTTACCACTGATAGCTGAGTCTCAAGGAAGTTGCTTCTTCACTCAGTGCCTCCATTAATTCATCTTTAAACAGGATAAAAAAGACTGTGGAATCTAGATTTGTATGAGAATCAAATAAAAACCAAAAAACAAACTTTTAAGATAATTTTTGAGTTGTAGTTATTCCTAGTATTCCAGAGTCTCTGATCTCTTATTTGCTACAAGTTTCACATCTTACTTCATAATGAAATGCTAAAGATGCCTCAGCAGTAGCCAGTTGACTTCAGAGGTCTTGAATGAGGAATCCTTTTAATTTGGGCTGTTCACCTTATAATTTGGTCCTGGGAAAACAGCAAATAAATAAGCTTTTATGAGGACTATTGATGATCCAAGATGCTAATTATCAATGTA